GTAAGTGGCAAAAAACTTTGCGCAGACTTTTATCTAAATACACATTTTGGCGGAAGTGTATTTGATTTAGGGGTATAAAAAGAGCTGTAAATGAACAAAAATATTTTTGAAAAGTATTTATCAACCAATACTTTTAAAAAAAACAACTAACATTCAGTTTTAACTTTTAATATGGAAAGATTTTGAATTGAATACATTTCCGTCCGTCTTTTAAGCTTATTTGTAAAAACTATTTTCTATTTTATATGTATATAAACATGCAGATAAATTTCGATGTTAAAACAATTATTTTTTATGTTAGAACTTTTACTAAACGTTTACCAAATGTTTACCAAACGTAAGTGTCAATCACAATTGTGTTAAAATGCTTACCATACTTACCTGATAGTAAAACACTTGTCACATCTTAAAAATTAAAAAAAAACAAAACACCAAACAGATGCGGATTAACATTTTTTATTAAACTCCACCGACACCTTAACATTTTGGATGCACAGCATTAATATAGACGGAAAAAGGTTATCAATATTTTAGTGAGTTTATCAAGTTCGCTATATTAGGATGACTGGAGAATAATTGGGTGATGAGGTGAGGATCACTTGTGTGAGTAACATTTTAAAAAATGGGCAATAATACATTTTGTTTATATCTTTAAAAAAAATCAACAATAGTTAATTGGTATTTTTTAAGAAGTACTATGTAAACATATTCTGGTTCAAACATCTCTTCAGGGAGCAGCAACGTGTAAAGTGACCTAGATTAAAAGCTATAAGCAATTTTATCATAAAAGAAGTTTCGAAATGTCTTACGTAGAATAAGTTAAATAAGTTAAGTTAATAAATAAACTTGAACTAACCAAAGACTAGTATTCAAATAAATTGGTAAGAAAATCTGGTTTTAAGCGGCTTGAAAAAAAAATCTACTTGTGAAAAGTTGTTTTCATTAAGAGTATAGGAAAACAGCTCTTGTGAAACGACATCACTGAAATCTTTTTAATTATGTTTATAACTGCGCTTCGTGTCTCGTTTGAGCTGTTCTAGGGGTGCACATTATATCACCTAGGCCCAATTATCCTTACTCTCCCCTAAAATAAAAATGTCATAATGCTCTATTTTTTTTAAATGACCATATTTTTTAATTAAAAAAACAGCCCGAACTTCATTAAACTTACGAAGCTCTTGCCTAGTTTAGTTTAGGATAAGAAAACATTCATTTGTTTTTGTTAACAGTTATGATCTTCCCACCCATTTTGCATATGATTTTCTCAACAGAAGATTCCCATACCGTGCTGAATTTTTTTGAAGGATTTTAAAAATGTGGTGAATATGTTGATTTATACTGAAGGCCGATTTTAAAAATGTGGTGAATATGTTGATGCAAAAATGTTGTATTTATTGATGCTAAGAATAGATATAAAATTAGTAAATATTCTGATTGAAAAACTTCTTGAATTATTATATAAAATGATTTTCTTGAGGTTAATAAGGAATTTTTTAATAAACTTAAACTGCTTGTAAAGTTTAATAAAAATATCTTTTAATAGAAGTTTTTGATATAAGAGAAAAAATATTAATGAAGTATAATCAGTAATGAAAAAAATAAGTACAGTAAACTCCCGGTTATTGGAACTGGCACTTATTCGAATTTCCCGCTTATTCAAAGAAATTTTAATTCCCCGCAAATTTTCCTTAACAAACCCACGCAAATACCAAACAGTTATTCGAACTCGCAGTTATTCAAAATTTCGGTTATTTGAAACATTTTTTTACTCCTCTTGACGAAAACCGTGTCAGTTATTCGAAGTTTTTGTTTGTTTGAAGATACCGTTCCATTACGTTTTGAAAAAAACGTAATCAAAATATTATAAAAGAAATATAATTAAATTAAAACTTCTATTATGGATGTAACTCTTTATTAATTTTTATACAATATTTCAAGGGATTATAGATACCCTCGTTGTCAAGTAAATAAATATAATTTTATCTTAACTCTTTAATGATGTCATTTAAAATTTATAAAAGAAATAATGTTATTAAAAAATCGAAGACATTGCAAAGTAGTTTCAACATGGCATCTAAACAAAAGAAAACAGTTCTGTCAATCAAAAAAAAATATCTTGCTCTTAAAGATTTAGAAAAAGGTTCAGTATTCCTCAAAACACTTTAACTTACTAGATTACGCATAAAAAAGACATAATTATCAAGTATGAGTCAGTTCAATTTGGAGCAAAGACAAAAGTTAAGTTTGGGAAAGCATGATTCCGTTAATAAAGCTGTATATAAATGGTTTATGAGCGTATGTGAACGAAATGTACCGATTGGTGGACACATCATTAGAGAAAAAGCTTTAGGTTTTGCAAAAGAACTCAACATTGCGGATTTTAAGGCTTCAGAAGGGTGGCTTGATTGGTGGGAATATAGACATAATGTTATTTTTCGAACTATTTCTGGCGAGGAAAGGTCATGTCAGCAGAAAAGACACCAAGTTCGGAGCAAACCCATTTGCCCACTATCCTCTCAAGGTATGAATTGAGAGATGTTTACAACGCTGATAAGTTTGGCTTATTTTATCAACAGCCAGCAACAAAAATCTTCCATCTAAAAGGTGAACGATGTGCAGAAGGATAATTAAGCAAAGTTCGTTTAACAGGCTTAGCAGCAGGAAATGGGTTGGTGAAAAGCTGCCTATGTTTATAATCGGAAAAGCAGAAAAACCACGATGTTTCAAAGGTGTCAAAAGCCTGCCTTGCCAGTACAAGTCCCAAAATAATTCCTGGTCACACTCTAAAATTTTTACTGATTATGTAAGGAGACTTGACGCAAAGTTTGCTGAGGGTAGAAAAGTTGCACAAATCATAGGTAACTGCCCAGCGCATCCTAATGTTGAAAATCTCAAAGCAATTAAGTAAGCATTTTTACCAACAAACACAACATCCAAAACGCAACCAATGGACCAGTGAGTCATAAGTTAATAAAAGTGATTATTTTGAAAAACAATCAATTGTTATATTATGAAATCGTTATTATTATTAAAGTAGAACCGATGGTAAGAATTTTTTATTTCATCTTATCAATAAAATATGTAAAAATTATGTGTGGTTTATAAATACAACAAAAAATTAGGCGCTTCACATGAAATAAGCTCATATAAGGAACAACTTGCAACAATTAAAAATTAAAATGCAAGATAACTTTATAGCAGCCGTGGTGCAGTGGTTGGAGTTCTTGCTCAGAACCAAGAGGTATCAGGTTTGATGTCGGCTTTGGCTAGATAAGCGACATTGGTAAGAAAGGAGGCATGAGTTTTCTAGTTAAATTGCTCTTCAAAAGTGCTCTGTGATAAGATCTGTGATAAGATCTGTGATAAGATCTGTGATAAGATCTGTGATAAGATCCTTAATATTTCTTGGAGCACCCCAGCGCGCATTTGCTTTTAAAAGTTACTTTCTAAATGTATTTTAAATGTCTTTTAAACATCTTTTAAACATTCTTACGTATAGAACGTTTAAAATGATGTTTAAAAAACATTTAAAAGACATTTAGAACGTAACTTTTAAAAACAAATGCCCGTAGGGACCTTAACAAAAAAACAAAAAAAAATTAAAAAAGCTAAGAACATTTCTTGAACGCCTGATGTAAAATTAACTGTTTTTTTTCGCTCTGTTTCTGTTGTATGTTTCTGATTCTAACAGTATTATTTATTTTGAAAATTTTTAACAACAAGACAGATTTCCCGAAGTATTTTTAAATTACCAGAATCTTTGTTTCACATATACTTTGGATATTTAAGTATATTACCGCGAGGTTTTTTTTGAAATTGACGGTATTTTCGAAGTCGATTGCAATGAGTACCACACTGGCGCTCAAATTCAATGTTTTTTGTAATTGTTTTATCAACTTCAAAAACTTGATTAAAAACGTAATACTGATCAGTTATTTCATCACCTTTCTCTACACCCATAAAGCTTCTTTTATTATAAAGAAATTTAGCTAGTTTTTACTAGTAGTTACAAGAAATGATTTAAAACTAACTAGTTACTTCGTCTTGCAATATTTTTAATTCTATTCTAAATTTATAGCAAAGTATTTTCTAGAAAAGTAAAATAATAGCAAATTTTTGTACTAGATAAAATATATTTTTGTTTAAACGCAACTTTTATTTGTTTTAATTTTAAATTATCCAATTAAAATTGAAGTTACTTTAATTTTAACATAAAGTTGCGTTACTTTAGATGCAAAGAATGGGCTAAAAAATGTTCTAGTTTTAATTTTTCTCATATCTTAAAAATATTAAAAATAGAAGTAGAAGGCCAAACTGGTAAAACTTTGGCTGAAAATTCAGATGCACAATAAAGACTTTTGATCATAAACAAAGGTACCCTAGTAGCTATTTTCAATGAATAGTTAACAGTTTTCCCAAACATATTTCCAATTTAATGTAATAATGCAGCTTTTATATTATCTTTAACTATTAATAAAAAAACAGGTTCCTCCAGGTTTGATAGCACAGAACTTTAAAAAATTAAATCATCTTGGAAATTATTTTTTTGAAGTTGATGGTAGGCAAAACAGATTGTTACAAATTATCCAAAAAGGTTATTATAACAACAAAATAAACTGAACAACAAACTTAATGATCTGCAATATAGCAGATTTTTTTTCACTTTAGCTGGTTGAGAGGAAACTCAACTTTTAGAGATATTTGAAAGTATTGATTGAAGTTGAACCGGCCTCAATTTCGAAGTGTATAAAGTAAACTTAGCTTCATTTGGGTAATGCAATTTAAAAACAATGCTACATTTTGCAATTATTGAATGAGGATACTCATAAACCATTATTTTTTTCTAATATTTCACGAAAAAACATATGCAGATATTTTATAATCAATTTCGAAGACAGCATTTTAAAGCCATAATAAATTATTTACTTTTATTTTATATGAAGAATAACTTTAAATTTTTAAACTTTAAATGTTTTTAAATATAGCAACCAATGCTTGAT